ATTATTTAGAATGTAGGCTTTAGCTAGGATGGGAGGGAACTATTATACTCATATTACAGTCTTTGACAGTAAATTGATACAAATTAAAATCATCAGGGGCTGGGTTGTGGCTCAGTGGTAGAGCACTCGCCTGGCATGCATGAGGAACTGGGTTTGATCCTCAGCACCACATAAAAATGAATAAATAAAGTATTTTATCCATCTACAACTAAAAAATATTTTTAAAATAGCTCAGTGGTATAGCACTTGGCGAGTATACATGAAACCTTGGCCTCTGAAAAAAATAAAAAATACAAAACAAAACTAGGCTCAAGCTACCAGTCATCTTCTATTAGCGAATCTCTGCAACCAGTGCTGAATTTTTCCAGCAATAATCTTTGACAACATATATGAAGTGTTGCCTCTGCCGCGCGATCAGCACGTTAGCTTCATACTAGAGGTCCTAAGCATAGAGATTAGCTAGTGAGATCAAAATAAACACACATAAACTCAATTTACTTCCACCATGCGATGAGTGCACTGGTTTCATTAAAGAGGTTCTAGGCATAAAAGTTAGCTACTGAGATCAAATAAACACACAGACTCAATTACCTTTTTCTATGACCAAGTCCGAGACGGCTCTCCCTCTGGCTCATACCTCGAACCACCCCGTAGGGCAGCAGAGATTACTCAGGGCTAGCAGGAGAGAGAGAGAGAGAGAGGCAGAGCACACCAGGGAGTAGCCTTTTATTGGAGAACAAGAAATTCAGGGGAGAATTCCATCCAATGAAGGTTGAGGGGGGCAGCACTCCAAGGTCAGGGTTCAGTGATTGGCCCCAGGGTCAGTGGTCAGTCACACCCCCACACGGACAGGCTCTCGCACTTGGAGAGGGTGGGGAAAGCTCCAACACAGTTTAGCCAGAGGGCCTCACACCCAATCCTGGAGGTGCCCAATCATGTGTGAGAATGGCTCCCCACAATTTACCTTTTTCTTGACCAGGTCTGAAGATCCCCTCCGCGCTCTTCCGATCTCAGAGGGCCTCACACCCAATCCTGGAGGTGCCCAATCATGTGTGAGAATGGCTCCCCACAATTTACCTTTTTCTTGACCAGGTCTGAGATGGCCCTCCCCGGCTCCTGCCTCAAGCCACCCAGTGGGGTAGCGAGGTTTATACAAGAGACTAGCAGGAGAGAGCTCGAGCATGCCAGGGAGTGGCCTTTTCTTGGGGAACAAGAAATTCAGGGGAAAATTCCATCCAATGAAGGTCGAGGGGGACAGCATTCCAAGGTCAGGGTCAGTGATTGGTCTCAGGGTCAATGGTCAGTCACACCCCCACACGGACGGGCTCTCGCACCTAAAAAGGGTGGGGATTAGTTCTGACACAGCTTGGCCGGAATGCCTCCCACCCAGTCAGGGAGGTGCCCAATCATGTGTGAAAACGGCTTCCCACAGTTGCCTACCAGGGAAGTTCACCCAGGTATGGTATCTAACTACCCAGAATCAAAATGACACAGTTGGGTCCAAAGCCTCAGGCATACACAAACAGGTGTCCAACATTAATAACATTGCTAGCATTACACACATCTGGTGTGACCCAAGGCCTCAGGCATAAAAAGACACTCTTGTTAGGCAAATATTCCAGGGACCCAGAGTTAACTTTCAGGAGCCAGTCAAGGCCAGTGCTTTCTTTGGTGTATGCTGTTATGGAATAACCCATGCCT